CCCAGGCAGTGCCCGCCCGCCACAGCGCCCCCTGCCGGCGGGGAGGACCGAACACAGCCCAGGCGGTGCCCGCCCGCCACAGCGCCCCCTGCCGGCGGGGAGGACCGGACACAGCTCAAGGGGACCCCAAAGGTGCGGGGGGACCCCAAAACTCTACAGGGACCCCAAAAGTGTGCGGGGACCCCAAAAGCCCAGGGGCTCCTGAACCCCCCCTATGGGACAGAAGCGACAAAAGAGGGTGGGGACAAAAAGGGAGGGGACAAAAAGGGAGGGGACAAAGTGCTGGGCACCTGGCATGTGTGGCACCGGTGACTCGGTGACCCACGGGTGACCCATGGGTGACCCAAAGGTGAACCAGATGTGACCCACAGGTGACCCAAAGGTGACCCAAAGATGACCCAAAGGTGACCCAGATGTCACCCAAAGGTGACCCAAAGGTGACACACAGGTGACACACAAGTGACCCAGACATGACCCAGACATGACCCAGATGTGACCCAAAGGTGACACACAGGTGACCCAAAGGTGACCCACAGGTGACCCAGAGGTGACCCAGGAGTGACCCAGATATGACCCAGATGTGACCCACAGGTGACCCAAAGGTGACCCAAAGGTGACCCAAATGTGACCCAGAGGTGACCCAAAGGTGACCCAAATGTGACCCAGATGTGACCCAGATGTGACCGAGGAGTGACCCAGATGTGACCCAAAGGTGACCCAGATGTGACCCAGATGTGACCCAGACATGACCCAAATGTGACCCACAGGTGACCCAGATGTGACCCAGATGTGACCGAGGAGTGACCCCTGCTCGGGAGCCGGGGGGGAACGGGGATGGGACAGGTTTGGGGACAGGGATTATTTTTGGGATTATTTTTAGGTTATTTTTGGGTTATTTTGGAGTTATTTCGGGGTTGTTTTGGGGTTATTTTTAGGGTCACTTCGGGGTTATTTTTGGGTTATTCTGGGGGGTTATTTCGGGGTAACTTTTGGGTTATTTTAGTGTTATTTTGGGGTTATTTTTAGGTTATTTTGGGGTTATTTTGGGGGTTATTTCTAGGATTATTTTAGGGTTATTTTGGGGTTTATTTTAGGGTTATTTTAGGGTTATTTTTGGGGTTATTTTGGGGCTATTTTTAGGATTCTTTTGGGGTTCTTTTGGGGTTCTTTTGGGATTATTTTTAGGATTCTTTTGGGGTTCTTTTGGGGTTCTTTTGGGATTATTTTTAGAGTTCTTTTGGGGTTCTTTTGGGATTATTTTTAGGGTTATTTTTGGGGTTCTTTCCGGGTTATTTTTGGGGCTATTTTTAGGGTTATTTTTAGGCTTATTTCAGGGTTATTTTTAGCGTTATTTTTGGATTATTTGGGAGTTATTTTTTGGGTTATTTCAGGGTTATTTCAGGGTTATTTCAGGGTTATTTTCAGGTTTATTTTTCCCTTTTTTTTTTGTTTTTCAGGTTTTTTTTCCCCCGTGTTCTCCCGTTTCCAAAAGCCCGTGAAATTCCCGCTGCTCCCCGCCGGGAGCTGCCGGCGAATCCAGGCGTGAAAAATGTGCCAGATCCACCCCGGGAGCGCCTTTTCCCTCCCCTTTTCCAGCTTTTTATGGGGCTGACCCAGCTTTTCCCACTTCCTCCCCTTTCCCAAATCCACCCCCGGGGATCCGCGCTCGGAGCTTCCCGAAGATTCCTCGGATCCCAAAATCCCAGGGATTGTGGATCGTCCCCATGGATGGGGTTTTGTGATCCCTTAAATCCTTCTGGAGGGGGATTTTTCCCCCCAAAAATCCCATAAATTCCCATGGATGGGGGTTTGTTTCTGAGTCCCATAAATTTCCATGGATGGGATTTTATCCCATAAATCCCCACGGATGGGATTTTATCCCATAAATCCTCATGGATGGGATAAAATCCCATAAATCCCCATGGATGAGATAAAATCCCATAAATCCCCATGGATGAGATAAAATCCCATAAATCCCCATGGATGGGATTTTATCCCACAAATCCTCTTGGATGGGATTTTATCCCATAAATTCCTATGGATGGGATTTTATCCCATAAATTCCCACGGATGGAATTTTATCCCATAAATCCCCACAGATGGGATAAAATCCCATAAATTCCCATGGATGGGAATGGATAGGATTTAATCCCATAAATCCCCACAGATGGGATTTTACCCCATAAATTCCCACGGATGGAATTTTATCCCATAAATCTTCATGGATAGGATTTTATCCCATAAATCCTCATGGATGGGATTTTATCCCATAAATTCCCACGGATGGGATTTTATCCCATAAATTCCCATGGATGGAATTTTATCCCATAAATCCCCATGGATGGGATTTTATCCCATAAATTCCCACGGATGGAATTTTATCCCATAAATCCTCATGGATGGGATTTTATCCCATAAATTCCCACGGATGGGATTTAATCCCATAAATTTCCATGGATGGGATTTTATCCCATAAATTCCCACGGATGGGATTTTGGTATTCCCACGGATGGGATTTTGGTCCCTGAGCATCTCCATGGGTGGGATTTGATCCCAAATCCCCCTCCCCATGTCCCTGTCCAGGGTTTCTTCCCCTCCTTCCACCCCCCAGCCACGATTTTTTGTCTTTCCCATTCCCACATTCCCAAATTCTCATTCTCCAAATTCCCATTCCCATCAGGAAAGGAGGGGTCGGTCAAGAAGGGCCAGGGATCGATCAGGAGGGATCAGGGATTGATCAGGAAATGGGGGATCGATCAGGAGGGATCAGGGATCGATCAGGAGGGATCAGGATTGATCAGGAAATGGGGGATTGATCAGGAGGGATCAGGGATCGATCAGGAGGGATCGAGGATTGATCAGGAAATGGGGGATCAATCAGGAGGGATCAGGATTGATCAGGAAATGGAGGATTGATCAGGAGGGATCAGGGATCGATCAGGAGGGATCAGGGATTGATCAGGAAGGATTGAGGGTCAATCAGGGAGGATGGGGATTGATCAGGAAATGGGGGATCGATCAGGAGGGATCAGGGATCGATCAGCAGGGACAGGAGCAGCCACAGGCAGAGGGAGGCTCTGTTGGGGCTGGGACACTCGAGGGGATCCGTTCCCATTCCCATTCCCGTTCCCATTCCCACTCATATTCCCACTCCCAGTCCCTCTCCTGCTCTGCTCTGCTCTGCTCTGCTCTGCTCCCATCCCATCCCATCCCATCCCATCCCATCCCATCCCATCCCATCCCATGGATCCCATCCTATC